CATTAAACCAAAAATCATGCTTTCCATTTTTACCATGTAATTTTGGACAGTTTTTTTTTTGAGGTGTGAATTAAGAACTTATGATGATGAGTTGAAGTAACGGTATCATTGTGCATGCTCCAGAAGCCCACTAAAATATATCCCTTGCTAATTAAAATCTAATAATGTATGTTCATTATATTGAAAATGATTTTAATTGTTAGAATTATTTGGCAATGTGATTTTTTTTGGAGGAACTCCGTTTTTTAAATTCGTGATGTCAACGATACAGTTTTCCTTTGATTTGGATTTTCGATAAAATTTTAAAGTTGTGTTCCCTCTCACTTAGAGTAAATTCACTATTATTGTTGTTAACTAGAGCGGCGTCATCACCCTGTAATTAAGTACTAAAAGTCAACTTTTATTATTTTTTAGTATTGCAATGACCAATAATATAAAATTTTGTTAAATTTGAAATAAATTAGTTGACTGTATTGTTAACTGTGGTATCGAAATTGTAAAAAAAAAAATCCGGTTTCATAATATTTATATTATTACATGAGTTTCATGAACAGTCCTATGAAAAGATGCTTCTATTTTCATCATTATGATATCCGCAAAAGCTATATAAATTTATCAATCAATAAGATTTCAAAGTATAAAAATCCAACCCAAAATTGCAATCCGGAAATAATTGATTCTAGGCTGCTGTTAAAAATATCAGAACTTTTACAAGTAACATTAAAAAATAATAATTATTATTATAATTATTTTAATGTGATTGAAAAAAATAACTCAACTACTTTGTATGAAATAAAACCCATAAGCTTTGTGGCTCGATGGCTCAGTAGCATTTCAATTTCTAAATATACAAATAATCCTTTTATCTCAATGAAAAAAGTAATGAACACATAAGCAGTGATGTGCATTTTATGCTTCCAATAGTATAAAATTTGATTGGAAGCTTCCAATCCAAATGAATTTATTAGAGAATTATGCTTCCAACCCTTCCAAAAGTGCTTCCAAGGGTGCTTCCAATCTTCAAAGTGCACATCACTACACATAAGCCTATAGCTAATAAGAGACCAAGAGAAATGTTTCTAAAATTTTAGCCTCAAACTGGAAGGAAATTATTATTTTAACTATCACCATAAATTGGATTAATCAGATCATTTCAAACCGAAGGATTCCTTCAAATCAGTTATTTGAAATAAAATGAAACACCCTCTTTGGCGGGATTGATTACATCCACGGATTATGAATTTTTGCATTGTAATTGAACTTCAATTCTAAGAATGGTGGTTCAAGACGCCTTCAAAACTCAAGAAAAGCCTGTCCAGTTACAGCAATAGTTTAGAAACATAAACTATGCCACAACGAAAATAATATTTTGTATTGCAGATGCGGCATAATGCAAAGGGTAATTTCAAATATTACAAGTCCAATATATTCAATAAACTTAGTAAATCCGTGAATTGACATATTGGTATTCTGCAACATGGATCGATGGTATATCGAAATTTAAAAGACAATATGAATCACGAAATATGCCAACCAGATATATTATTGACGTTTATATTTGATATTGATTAAATTATAAAAACTAACTTAAAGCATATTTGGATTTTAAAATAAGTATTTACTCATTATTTTAAAAGTATTATAATTAAGAATCCCGAAACCAAAGAATTTAATATGAATATAATTTAGAGGTTCTCTTTCAAATAATGTTTTATGAATAATTAATATCCTTTATGATTTTCATAATTTAGGATATTGTAGAAAGGATTTTCATAGTGGAAATATCATGCAATATTAAATTTTTTTTTTTATATTTCAGATTTTATAAGGTTAGCAGACTTTAATACAATATTATTTAATACCATTACTAAGATATTTGCCAAAAGTATAGAAATTATTGATAAAATATTACTAACGGTCCCAAGCCAGCCGCAGTAAACTTCGCCAAATCATTAATCCCTTTCTACCTGAATTGAATGTTGGTTTAAGACAGATAAATTATCGTTATACTTTTCCTTAGCTGATCTCCAAAACATAATTTCGACCATCACTTCAAAACAGGATTTCATAGATTTTTTTGTTTTTTATGCTAACAAATGGTTTTCTTTTACCAATTCGAGCATAAAACCTTTCTTCATGAAGGTACCGTTGCAAAGTTCGTGCTGAAACATTAATTGATGTTGATTGTAAAAATTCATTTCGCAAAACATTTATTGGTCTTTTTTAACGATCGCGATCATTTAATAATTGTGGTCTTCCACATCGAGTTGGAAGTTTTATTTCTCCAATATACTTGTATCGATTAATAACGTTATGAACAGTTCATTTTGCCAATTTAAGTTCTTTGATGACATTTGGAATTGAAACCCGTATCTCCAAGCTCCAACTATTTGATTTCGTTCACCTTCAGATAGTTCTTTACGTTTTTGTACCATTGCAAAAGAATTACAAATGAATAAAAAAAAAATGTTATTGTTTTATACATTTAAATATTTTTTTTTATTGTTTTTGTCAATGTATGCAATTTATAATTGCGCAAAAAACAAATTTTTATTTGCTTTGCTTCTGTCTGGGTCGATTTTCGTAAAATTGATCGTCATCCGGCGGTGATTTTTGTCAGGAGAAAGTATATTAGAAATTCTTTTTTCAAATTTAAAGTCGTGCAAGAACAATACAAACGTAATTGTAGTTACAATGACCAATTTATTTGGCGGCTATAATAATACTATTATTTCCTGCATGATCTCCGGAAAGAATCAAGGCTCCATAAAGCAAAGCCCGTAGAAAAATTACCCGAGCGCACAGTTCCACAATTAAAATTCATCATTTCTAAATTTGGTCTATCGACTTTATTCATTTGTTTATAAAGAAATAAGAAACATTGTATCTCTCTTACTTTAAAATAGTTTATTTAACTTATCATTTTTATTATAAAAGAAACACGTTTTCGAGCAACCTTTCTAAATCTTCCCCTACATCTTCTATATCTACATCCCCTATATCTTGCATCTCCTACTTTCTTTACATTTTTTACATATCCTACTTCTTTTCTTATATTTCCTTTTTCTAAAATTTTTATTTATCCCTTACAAATTAAATTACGCATTGAAAAAAATCCTTTCGCAGTGTTCTTTCCAAAAAATTTTTATTTTTCGAAATCTCCCGTCTTAAAAAAATGTTTTGCAAAAATTTTTATTAAAGTCATCAAGAATATCCTAGAGTGAGCTTTTCTTCAATTACATAACCTTATTAGTAATCTTATTCTTTTTTATATATACTATGGTCAAATATCTTCCATTGTGTGAAATTATTCCTTTTTCTTGATATTTGACTCATAGCAAATGGAATTTCATTCTATTGACCTTCTATGCGATTGCATAATGACATTTTAACTTGTCTTTTTCAAGGAGCAAAATTGAAAGTTTTCTTTCTCAAATCCATTTTCAAGAAAGATAACTTCTCGAAGAAGCTCTTGTATTAAGAAATCGATAAGGATAGCCTGGAGGTAAATTTTTACCTACTCACGTCAAAATTCAGTTTTTCGTTTTATTGTTAATTGATTTCTCTTTTTGATACTCCACTCTAACATCTCTAACAACTTCTTTCCTTTTTCATCATATTCTACATCCCGAAAGATCTGACGAAAAATTTCATACTTGACGTCCAAATAAATCTTTAAGAGGTAGGGTTGAGCTTGCACTTTATGACAGTCATTCGATGAAGATTTACATTTAGGGTTTCTAGGTCATGAGGTATTAAGTGCGGCCATTGGTGAAGTTGCAAATAGACCTAAGTAGTTTAAACCAGTCTGTATTATGCGGATTAAACAATGTAGCTTCCTACTAGAATAGCATAAAATGTATGTAATTGGATTCAGTGGTCGGGTCTCTTGCTAAATGTCTAACATAAAATTTATGTAATGAATTCTGAGTCGTGTTCCATTTCTCTTTTTACTTAGTAGAAATACTAAAATGTATTATAATTATTTTTCCTTCATAATAGTACTTATTTAAAAGAACGGTCATCATTGCCAGTCTGAATAAAGAAGACAATCCTTGGGGTAGGGTTAAGTTTGTATTTTAGACGCGGTCATTCGGTAAGTTCATATATGGCTTCTTATCTATAGGAAGTGCGGTCCTAGCATAAAATTTATGTCACTTGAATTCGGGTGGTCAGTCATGTTCCTTCTCTCTCTTTGCTGAAATATTTTATAATTATTTATTCTCTATATTATAACTTAGATCCTCTCGATTTTATATCTATTATTTTATATGTACTGAAGTTGTAGTTCACGACTATATCAAAGTTATATGGGTAAGAAGAAACTCAGTATAAAAATTTTGTGATGCAAATATGAATTCAAATTTTTGTTATCTAATTTTAAATTTCCTCCAAAGGAATAAAGGGTTTTATTTTTTCGGCCTTTAATTTTGTATTACAATGTCAAATTTATTTAAAGTTTACCAATTATATTTATCATATTAATTTTATGCATATTTACTAATTACGTCATCAAATAAATATAATATTATAATGATATCAAATTAGAAATATTCCTGGATGTCAGAATAAAACGTTTATCTCATGGTTTCCTAATTAACGTCGATGATTTTTTTAATGATATTTTTTCACGGTGAAATGGGTTGAGTTTATTTGAGCTTATATTAAGAAATTCCCTGAGATAAAATAGTTATTTCACGGATCATCCTCGATCTCATTATCATCACGGCCGCGCCGTGATAAGTAATGATATCTATGGATTCCCGTGAAATAACTAGTACATATATACCCTCATTGAATTTCTTGAATTGTATATACTGTATATAAAATTATTTATTAATAATGACAATCTACCTCAAGAAGAATACGCAATTTAAACAAGTAATCAAGTGATGGAGACTTTTTTGCATGATAAAATTATAAAACTTTATTTATAGAAAAAAATGTCTTAAAAATGAACAGAGTATATGGGATAATGTTATTATTTTAACAAACCTTTATTACAAGCCACTATTATCGCGAATATAATGATCGCAATAATGTTTGAGCTGCTCAGCCCTCAAAGTTTCTGCAAAAGTTTTCATAATTTTCGCATTAGACATTTGAATTAATCGCGAGATCCTAAATTCCATCTGTTCTTTCAAATGATCCAACTCATAATCATCCGCCAATTTGAGCAGGTCTTTATATAGCGATAAATTTGAGGATTGATTAATATCATGCACAACCTTATTATTCCTAATATTAATCGAATCTTTATTATGAATTGCATCGTCGATATCCTGACTGTACAGATAGCGTAATAAGATGCGCATAGAGTTTGGTTGAATATCTCCGACAGTGATCGTAATTGGACTAGTTGGATCTGCTGTAAATTTCCTATGAAAGAATTCCGAGCTTGAAGAAAGCATATACCGACTTGTCTTTATATTCTCACCATTCACGCTAAAGGTGATGTCGTTCAAGGGAGATGACTGATCTAATAGAAATTTAAATGATCTAAATCTGTTAATATTTGATTGGTCGTGTTGTCTGATCCGTATTTCAAAATTAGGCGGCTTTATTTCTTTGACACCAGCATTTTTGAGCATAGTAGGATACTTGGCAAGTCTTGGATCAACATATTTCTCTTCACCCAGTTCACGGTTTAAAACTAAATCATTAGCTGTAACCCAATTATCGCGGTTAAACGGATCTTGATTCATGTTAAAATTAAGGAATAATGGATCATTTGAACGAATGTAAATAGTCAAACCAATATCCTCCTTTAAAGATTCTTCTTCGAGCCATTTATAAACCTCAAAAACGTTATGCTTAAATATTTCAGCCCAAGTGTTCTTCCATTCATCATTAATACGGAGGACATGATACAAGAAACGGAGATGTTTGACTACAGTAGAAACATTTGGTTTTCCGAATGATGGATGTTTTTGGATTACGTGTGGAGGCGGTATGACATTTTCCGCGATCAAGGGCATTTGACTCCACGCGACATCTCTATACTGAGGAAGGATTACGTCTTTCAAGCAACAAAAAATTTGTTTGTGATGATAGTATAGGTCGTGAGGTTTACCCAAGCTTTTAGCAATTGGGAAAATTGGAACTCTTCTGATGCTTTCTAAGTTAAAAACGTTAATATTTTTATAGAGATGATCAACCAATGTAAAGCCTCGATAGATTAAGTCAGTTGGAGGTTCCAGCTCATTTTGTAACTCCTCGATCTTATCAGCGCACTTATTGAATGCTGATTGATTTACTGTATTATGATCATTGAATCCAATACTTGATAAACTCCCAGCGCGTTCTAATAGACCGGAATGAAGAAAGACGTCCGAGTTTCTGTTTCCACCAAATACGGTCCGAAATACATGGTTTTTAGGGTCGAATAGATCGGTTATATTCTTTAAACATTTCGTATAAGAATTGGGAAAACAACGTTTATCTCTTAATCCTTGAACAACTTGATTATCAACGAGTACGCTAAATAGGAAGCGAACATAAGAGTCATTGCATTCCCTAGGGAATTCAACATCCTCTAAAGTATACGAATAGGTGTCTCGATAGGAAACATCGAGACTGAGAAAGGTTGCAAGGTCGTATCGTGGATGATATTTAAAAAAATGTATGGATGTTCTTGTTTTATACCATTGTATTTCATCATGTAAAAGAAATCCGCATGAAGCTGGTTTTAAAAGCTTTTCCGAATCTGAATTCGAGTAATTTTCCCAAATAGGAAATAAGCGAACTAGTGATTTTAACTTGTCATCCGATGTCACTCAATTCAAAAACAGAAATCTTGATGTTAAACAATAATTTTATTACAATTTTATATACAATTTATTACGGAGATAATTACCCATTCCCAAATAGCAGTTTGGAAGTAGTAAGGTGCGGAGTTCTTTGATTCGTTGAATCGACAAATGTTTGAAAAAAATTTCGACGCGGTTATTTACATTGTTTTCAACGTTACCGTCGTTAATTAAGATGTTTTCATTTTGAAACATATGCTTAAGCACTTTAAACCCGTATTCAACTGCGTAGTTTGGATTATTTGTGGACGGAAAAGGCCAAAACTTTGAGATAGTATCGTTAATTTTTAATTTGAAAGCTTCTAATAGTAGCTTGCAATGAAGTCTTGGCAAGAAATCTAGCAGAATATGCCTGTTCCAATTAAGTTTCAGATGATCCAAGTCCGGTATGTCATTTTTTTCGATCAGTAACGTTGCACGATCTGAGCCATGGGCCCAAGTTCCGTTAAGATGAACAGGCAGATTTGTGGTATCAGGCAATGAAAGAAAAGAGTACATTCTACCTTTAAAGTCTTTTGGATTATCAAGTGGTGCTGCAACGCCGCCCAATAAGCGTAATCGATATCGTCGCGCATATTGCCTTAGCTCAGGATCTTCAGGATCACGTTGGGCTCCAATAACGATAATCCAACGGTTGTACTGTTTGTTGTTTATATCTCCATTATCAATTAGTTTAGTCTTTATCTGAAAAATATGAAATTCGTCGTTGGTGATGTTTTCACATTTTCTTTTATTTCGCACGGTTTCATCCAATCCCTTCATAGTTACTTTACAAAGTGGTTTTATTTGAAACGGAACCGTAGCTTCAGATATTTGGGAAATTTCAATAGTTTCGACATTTCGAAGGAACAAAAATTGGGAGGGAATACTCGATTTAATTTTAGTGAATAATTCGAGGATCTGATTTACAGAAAAAATTCTGTCGGATATGTCACTTTTTTTTTTCCGAAGTGGTATTCGAAAGAGTGTCCCCTCGAAAGTCGAACGAAAATCTATGCCCTCGATGTCCTTAAAAGGAACCAATTGGTCCTGTTCAGTGAATTCTGATATACCATTCCTTGGAAGTGAACCGATAGTACCACGTTTGTTTAAATACTTTTCTTGAGGATCCAAAAATGCAATAAAATCTCCGCTAATGAAACTCGGAACATCGGTAAAATGGTAGCATGAATTGAAACCTACTCCATGTTTCCCAATCTTTGTATCGTCATCTTGTTTTCCGCCAACGCGGATTTGCATGAGCGATTCAAAATCGGATTCCTTGAACCTTGCATTATTGAATATCAAGATAGCGGGGCCCTGCCATTCCTTTAATCCACTGCAAAGTAAAGAGTTGGAGGGATGCGAGCGGCCGTCGATGATGATATGAAACCGAGTAGCTCCGGCGTCATCAGCTTTTATTATTATTATATTATTATTATTATTATAGAAACAACATTATGACCATTCAAGATAAAAATTATATATTTTCATTTTGACTATTTACCATTTTGAAGGAATTCTCTAAATATGCTCTCGCAGGGATAATCCTAAACCAAATTTTAAGTTTAACTTTGAAATAATATCTTAACATTTAAACAAGGTAAGGATAATACCTTAATAATATTACGAATGGACGAAATTAACGTCTCATTTTGACCATAAGTTCTGCAAGTTGAGGCTAGCGACATAATGACTTGTCTATCGTTAACGGAAAGATTTTTTTTTTTTTAAGTTGGAAATTTGGATTTCAAAGATAATAAAGTTGTTCCATTGTCCGTCTCTCATTTGGATTTAGGCGTAAAAATTTATGTCATAATCTTAGCCGAGTTTGTAGATACAATGATTATTAAATATTAGATGAGTTGGTTGCTAGGAAAATCAGGTTCCGGCTGAAAATTCTTTAACCGGTTAATAACCGGTTAAAATATTTGTTAAAATATTTGTTAACCGGTTAATTAACCGGTTAAAATTAACTTTGGCCAGTATTATAAATTTGGCCAGAGTTAGACAATAATTTGCAATCATAAAAATCTTAATTCTGGCCGGAAATTGAATTTCGGCCGGATTTAAATTCATCTATTTTAACCGGTTAAAAAAAATCTTTAACCGGTTCCAACCTCTAAAATCGATAAATAATCAATGCGTTGCGTTGTGTGAATTTACATTTTTGACGAGAATTTTGATTGGTTAAATTTACACTACTACTTCAACATGAAGTAATAATTGACATTCACTAGCGATGCAAAATTAAGTTTTCGCATAAACGAAAAGGTAAATTCCAGTAAGAACAGATTTTTCGTTGGTAAATCTGCGGACAAATCATCGGTCGCAAACGAAGGTACATACAAACTATTCTATTAACCGTGTTTATTAGTTTAGTATTGAAAAAGTGAAATTACCTTATTAGGCTTATTTTAATAAGTTATTTGCAATCGGCTTTTGTTTATCGGTAGAGGTTTTTCCAGCTAAGATCGGATTGGCCTTGTCAAGAGTTTCTTTCTACAAACACTTCAATTTATTGGTGATTTTATGTTAAGAACTTCACCCATCTAACGGGCATTCCTTAATATTGATGAAAATGGTGTTTCTGTAACAAAAAAAAAAAAAATGACTGGGAATAGTCCGATATCATTTTAAAAAGCTTAAAAAGTTTTGAATTATAGTTACGTAAAAATTTAACGGCATACTTTATTTTAGAGTTCTCGATTTCATTGCATAGTTCTTCAGATCTGATCGATGTAAAACGAATTTTTGACTCATTTTAATGACAACTTATATGCAGTAATTTATTTCGGCCAATGAACGCTTGGCATAGTAAATAATATTATTTAATTGAAAATCATTTTGAAAGTTAAAATAGAAATATTTAACCATAAGAATGTACCGATCTTTTAAAAGTATTACTTGCAGAATTTTCGGAAACCTTTAACTAGACTTGGGAGATTTGCATGTTAAATTTATAATTAAATAATTTTTAAATTTACCATTGCCACGAGCTCACAAACATTTACCTCATTATCCAACTTTAAGTGACGTCAAATATCATCCTTTAAACATCCATAAATATGTAATTCCCAATTTTCAAGAATATAAATCGCTTTAAGGATTATCTTTATCGTTCGTTGTAAAACTCGATCGTTGAGACCGAAGCGAAAAGAACTCGAAAGTTAAAAAATGAAGTAAAATTCTCGTACTTCCGAAATTCTCGAACCCGAAAGAAATAATAATAATATTAATAAAAAAATATATATATATATATAATTACATAAAACTGGAAAATCTGAAAAAATCTTAGATGTTTTGTTTAAAATAAAAAAAAAAAAAAAAAAAAAAAAAAAAAAAAAAAATGCTAAATGACTTTCTTAATTATTAGAATTAACGGCAATTAGATACTAACGTTAATTATGTGATATTTTTACCATTTTATTTTTTTTACAGTAAGACAACCTTTTATAAAAGGGAACTAGCGTGACTACCTGTGCCCTGGAGTTCACCAACGCGTAACGAAATAGATTTTGAAAACTCGATAAACATATTTAAAAAGTTTTGTATTTAGTATATACAATTATAATTTAAAGCAGAAAGCGTAGCAATATCTCGAGAAAAAGAGAACTTAAACTTGATCTGTAATGTTTAATCCCAAGCCTTAACTTCCAACATTTACTCTAATTTTTCAATTCAAACATTTTATCTCTAAATCTAAACTTAATTTAATAATCAGTTTACAATGCATTATTATTGTTTAATGTAAACTGTAAAATTAGTGATTAATAATTATAATTTTATTTTTTTCGGTCAATTTTGATTTTATTTAATTTTTAAATTAACTGACTGTTTATGTCTTACAAAGTTAGCTCCTTCGATCATAAAGGTATCATATTAGAGCAACTCTGCTCATTTTCACTCGTAGGAAGTAAGCCCTATATATTATTTCATGCTTTTGCTTAATTCTGGTATTTGGGGGCGGTCAATAAAAAAGGTGAAATTCTACAAATTTTAAGTTTTGTTGTCTTGTTCACATGACCATGATCATCAGAGTGAACCAATAAAAAAATTTTTCGCTAAAAAGTGGATTTCCCCCCCTTTTCTACTGACCGCCTCCCATTTTATTTATTTATTTATTTTTTTTATAAAAATTCCGGTATTTTATTTATTTTATATATTTTTTTTTTTTTGTAAATTCCGTGAGTGATATTTTTTAAATTATCCTCGATTTTTAATTTATTTGTATTTTACGTTAACGATAAGAGACATTAATTTCCCTACTAACCGTGTCCTGTATTCCAAGTTTTATGGCCACCTTGCAAATGTTATTGTCGCTTCCCACAAATCCGATAATTGCGTCGATTATTGAGGTTCATTTCCGACGATTCACAAGTGATTTATTATTGCGAAGGTATAAGTGTGACAAAAGAACGTAGATCTTATTGACTGTATTCTCGACGAAATCTTAACAAAGATCGTGTTCTTAAATATTTAAAATACTTGAATTAATGCGTAATAAACTAATACAATGACAAATTCACGATTTCTAGCATCTCATTATTAGATAGATGTACTTCATCTTAGAATTAATCATTCGCATATTAACATATATATTAAATAAAAAAAATATATATATATATAAGAATAAATGGTAAATAATAAAAGTGCATTTGAGTGGTATAAAATTTTAACAGAAGAAGGAAACACAATATTCTTTGGGTTAATTGCGATCAGAATGGATATTATGCTTCTAAAATTTCAACGAATTTTATTATTTTGTTTCTGACCTTAATAAAAGATGCCATTAATTGGGAGTTTGCTATTAAAATCGAGTTACGAACATAGCAAAACACATGATCCTCAACGTGAATTAACCATTAATCGCTTAATATTGAACTTACTACACCTATTAATTATATTTGAAATGAAAATTGAAATAAAAATATTATTTCTCCCACTTTCGTGTGTTCTATCATTTATTCCTTGAACGATGAAGGTAAAAAATAAATGAGATCAAATTAGTTGTTATTGTTTAATGATAATAATTTTGTAATTCCTCATGAAATTTTGTCGGGTTTAAAATAAAAAAAAAGTAAAACTAAAAGCAAAAGTCAATACACAAATCCCCGTGAAAAATTTCTCCGAAACTCGTTTAATTCGAAAATTCGTAACGAAATTTTTTTAACGATTTTTTTTTTTCAAGTAGCCAATTTGAAAGTTCCATAAAAATTTTATTTATTTTAAAATTTTTTAATAAAAATTTAATAAGGAGACTGCAGTGGTGGTAGCCTGAAATAGGGTTCGAAAATATAATTTTTTCTTTATCTATAAATTGCTTCATTTATTATAATTTTTTAAGAATTGAGAAAATATATTACGCGAAATTTTTTTTTTGTTGATTATCTATCTAGTCATAAGATCGAGAGATCTAATGATTAAACGCCTGAGAATTGACAGAAATAACTCATTAAATCACGGTCTACTGAGCTACATTCTTTTTTGGCGTCAAATCGATTTGATTTTTGATTTCAATTTGATATTTCATAATGTTCAATTATAAATAAATCTCGAGAAGGTCGTTTAATTAGCTAAACTTTAAATTTAGAATCTTATCCATTACTTATAGCTAAATTGCATTAGTATTATTGTTTCTGCAGCAGTTTGATATTAATTAAAGACCTTTGTAAATTCGTCTGTTCCTTCTTTGTTGTTCAGTTTATAACGTCTTCAGCAAATCACAAAATCAATTTATTAATTTACCAAACGCCAATATAAGCAATGACTGAAATATCACGTGAAATTAAAATTCATAATTTAGAATAGAGTAAACTTTGTTTCAAACCTTCGAGACTAAACCGCCTCTTTTGGTAATTCTGGTAGGGCTTGCCTTTAAACTATGATAAATAGTACTGGACGCGCAAATGTTTCACGTAGATACGTTATTAAGCGCAATACATTTTCCACTTTTGCCTCCACATAATTTTCTTGAAAATTGAATGAGATTATTTCATCCTCATAAGCATAGATGAGATTCAATTTTTCTTGATTATAAATTGACTGTAACCTGCAAAAACGAACGAACTTTCATATCATTCACCAGTCCAAAATGCAAACTAGTTTCATTTCCATTGGATAATGCCTCGTAGAAAGTATACGATTAAATTCGTATGCCAACTCTGCTACAACAACAACTTTATCCAAAGCAATTGTTAAACCGATTTTGAACCGAAACAAGATTAACCAAACAACGATTTAAATCTAACTCAGACGTCCTAAGAAAGAATTATTCAACTTTTTCTTAATACGATTCTTTTGTGTAGTTGGTTATAAGTCAAATTTATATGGAGAAACGATAAAGGTTGAAAGTGTAAAGGAGTAATTTATTATTTCTAGATTCGGACGTCCTTTCTCAAGACTCGTCAATCTTTTTCTTTTGATCAAGCGGATTTTCGGGGTTATAAACAAATTCTCTAATTACTATCTTTTTTTCTATTTAAAATGATTATAACGAAGATATCTAATATAATAGAAATAATTAATATAGCAAATATAACGATATATAATAAAATTATTGAGGCGAAATAAATTGAATAAATGAGTTATTGCATATTTATTTCATCTGATCTTGCTGAGTCTTGTCCAGTATAATCCGGGGAATTTCAAAATACCGAAATAGTGACAGGTGCGTTGCGAATTCCCTTCGTTGTGATGTGACTGCAAGCCTGTAAGCATCTTGCGATTATGATCTATTTGTTCTGAGAGATTAACAGTCACATTACACTCTTGGATAATGCATTTTCTTTTTTATTTGTGAAGATTTACGAACCTTTGGTTCATCCAAATAGTCATTCGCGGCTTTAATTATATGGGACCTTTGCAATAGAAAAGAGGGAAACGGATGGAAAAAATAATAAATGAGTTAATGCTAAATCTAGACATATTTTGACCTAAAAATCATATTCGGCATATAAAAGTAAAATTGATTTTTTCCGGCAGTTTCCCCCCTTCTATTGCAAAGGTCCCATATTATCTTCATACGACGTACTTGCTTTTTTCAAAATCATCAACTTCAATTCCGATATCTTTACACGATTGTTTTGATGTACTAGCTTCACTCGTCTGCAACTTTAGGTAGATAAAAAAGATAATAAAAAGGATAAAAAGAAGTCAGTATAATTCTGGGTCACATACCAAAAGTCAAAAGTATGGGGAGACTGGGCAAGGCTCCGCACCATGTCACCAACAGCACTACGGCTAATTGAGATGGTAACTGATGGTGATTATAACAAGATTTGGCTCGTCCTCGGACGAATGGCACATGCAACAACCAAATTTTGGATGCACACCTTTCAATCCAAGTGTCTGACTGCCGGAAAAATCGCTAACACTTGGGTTCTGCCTCGTAATCACTAACAAAGAGCTACTCCTCAGACAACATTCATAGAATCTATAGAAGGACGTTCACAGAGGCCGCTTTCCGTCTGGTTACCTGACTGGAAGTTTTCGTAAACTGTAGTCACGAGGTTCTGCACAAAGAGCACTAACCTTATTCAGTTTATTCCTAAAGGATTGTAGCTTCAGATATCTTTTGTCATTCTTGTTATAAACCAAGAGAGCGCATCTATGTCTTTTTTTAAAGCTTGGTGACATTCTTCGACAGTTTCATCTTGATATGATTTGTAATAAAATTCTTCATATGTTGAAATTTTCTCCAATAAGTGCACCTACTTGACCAGTATTCCGAAAATGAGACGAATATAAATATTTACTATGGCAATATTAGTTGTATGAAAGGATATGATCGACTTACCAGGACTTGAGAGCTTTTCATTTTTTTTTTAAAAGTTCATCCATTGTGTAATTGTGAAAAAAGAAATGAGAAAAAAAAAGTTAAAGGATTTGGTTTGAGTCAGTCAACCAAGAGTATTTTTTTTTTAAACTATATAGAGCAAATAAATTTACTCATACCTGATAATCAGGGGAGGGAAATTCGTCAATTTCTTGAAAGTATAATAAAATTACATTACTAACCTAAATGAAGTCCATAGGTAACATATGTGATTGATCCTTGGAGATACAATACAATAAGGTCTTCTGAGTCCTTAAGAATAAGATATATCATCAATACGGAGATATTTACAACTTTTTGAATGAACACATCAAATACCAAATACGCATAATAAACCTGTATCAGTTAGTTGACCATCCACTCCCAGCTTATACACCTGTCCCGTCCCTCCGCTATTTGGATAACGAAAGTAATAATATAAAATAAAAATAACTAAAAAACAAATACATACAGATCCTTGCTGGTCGTTTCTAATAAAATAAATAGTTTTAAAATTTAATAAAATTCGTCACACCAAAGGATCGTCTGAATCCCAACTTCAGACGAAAATCAAAACACCCTAAAAAGAGTATTTGTTGTTAATTGTAATATATAATAATTTATTTAATTCTTTATTTCTTCACCTATCGTTGAACTTTTTAGTCATCGGTTATGTAAAAAGAGATCCGTTATCGTTATTGATAAATCTACAATATATTCACATTTTTATACACAAATAATGATTTTTTATTTTTTAAAAAAAAAAATTAACACTCGATTTAGAAATTTTTCAGATATGATTGTTAATTATTAAACATCTTTAAACCTGCTTTTCATAATCATATTAAAATATACCATTTTATTGAATAATACTAAGGTGAAGGCCCCAAATTATCAAAAAATAAAATAAAAATTAAATTCAGAAAGTTTTCACATGATTGGAACTTATCATATTAATGTATTTATATATTGAGGTTATTGAACACAAATAAAAAAATCAAGATTTCAAAGTAATAGATTTCTATTTGAGAAAGAATTTCGCAATAAAATACATTGCATTACTTCCTAAATTCAAATGACAAGAATAAAGAATTTTACCCTTTAATGTTCAGTATTTATCCAAATATATGAATTCATTCATAAGTTTTTCCAGTTGTACCCCGATAATTTGTTCTCATTAAGCTAGACTACATAACCATTCATTTTTGAGATACAAGTTACCCCCTTGCATGAATATCGTTAGTAAAAGAATATGAATTGTACTGCGGTACGATCTGCATCAATAACGAAAACTCTTACCGATTTTCCATATAATTAATTTTTAATTTTTGTTTGATTTTGCGAAAATGTACTCAAATTATTTTGATAAAATTATATATTTAATTTATTGCAACAGCGGTTTTTAAGGATTCGGGATAGACTAAAGTTAAGGAATTAGGTAAATTTGGCAAGCTCTTTATACTAGTGTTATTACAATTAAGACAAGACAAGAACTTTGGTAAAGTTGGTAAGCTGGTTATTAGAGATTCAGAACAACTGAGAGTGGTTAGGGAGATAGGTAAGGTTGGTAAGCTAGTTACTTTAATATTATTACAGTAGAGTTCTGCTAAAGAATTGGGTAAATTTGGTAAGCTAGTCATTGAAATATTAGAACAATAGAGTTCTTTTAAAGAGTTAGGTAAGGGTGGCAAGCTATTTATATGGGTATGTTCACAGTCGAGATAAATTAAGGAGGTTGGTAAAGTTGGTAATCTAGTTATTAGAGTGTAACTGCAGTCAAGTCGAGTTAAGGAATTAGGTAAAGTTGGTAAGCTGATTATTTGGGTATAACTGCAGTTGAGATGAGTTAAAGAGTTGGGTAATATTGGTAAGTAAGCTATTGGAGAATCAGAACAGTAAAGTTCTTTTAAGGAGTGGGGTAAGGTTGGCAAACTAGTAATTGGAGTATTTACGCAGTCAAGACGAGTTAAGGAGTTGGGTAAAATTGGAAAGCGAATTATTTGAGTATTTCCGCAGTCAAGACAAGTTAAGGAGTTGTGTAAAGTCGGTAAGCTGATTATTGGGGTATAACTGCAGTTAAGTTGAGTTAAGGAGATGGGTAAAGCTGGTAAGCTTGTTATTTGAATACAATAGCAACAAATAAGTACTGTTAAGGAACTAGGAAATGTTGGTAAGCTTGTTATTTGAGGATTGAAAAAACTGAGTACGGATAAGGATTCAGGTAAAGTTGATAAACTTTTTATTTGCGTAAACGAGCAGTGAAGTTCGGTTAAGGAATAGGGTAATGTTGGTAATCTAGTTATTTTAGTATTGTTAAAGCGGAGTACTTTTAATCCTTGATATCTTTGCAATCCAACCGAGGCGTGTAAGATGTCATCCTTATTAGTATCTGTAATGGTTAAACTATTAATGGTGTATAATTTTAAATCATCAATAGGTTTTTGTTTGGCTTTCATTTCTATTTCTTGCTCATTAACAATTTCTCCTAATTCAATAATAATTTCTTGCATCATTTTGACTTCTTTCTCATGTTCTCTAAACTTTTCTTCCAAATATTTAATAGTTTCTTTCTTGGTTGTAGTTTGGTTGTCTACAATCTTAATAATTTCGTTGGTCTTTACTTCTATTTCTTTATTCCTTTCTTCTAAAACATTAATAGCTTCTTCTCGCTCTTTTACCTTTTCTTCTAAATATTTTAATTGTGAATTTAACTTTAATAATTCCTTTTCTTTTGTTATTAAATGATTATTTAAGATTAAAACATCTTGTTTTCGATCACTTAATTCGGCTAATATCTCGGTAAGTTTACGTCCTCCTAATAATTCTTTTAAATTGTCCAAATCATCGCTACCTATTTCATCACGTAAAAAGTTGAGTGTGAATTGATTATCCTCGTCAGCTTTCTCTAAATCCTTAATTATTTCTTTCAGGTCTTTCAAGTTGCTTTTCAATGCCATTTTTACGATTAATCTTTTTCTCAATGGTAAATGTTTCTTTTTATTAATTTCAGCCCTCGTCGATCATTACAAATGAATTCGCACATTATTACGATTCTTTTCGCTTACGTATATTTGATCACATTTTTGCATCATTAACTTAGATGCTTACAATGCTTACACTGACAAAGGTTTCGACAGCATCGAAATCGAAAGGTTTTATTTAACTTTTGCCAAAATGGGATTAGGGTTTTGCCCCGCAACCATACATCACATAACATTTAAAACGGAACTAAAATCGAATCTTCTCTTCGCACAATTATCACAAAATCACGATGTGATAGAAAATTATAAAATAAACAAAAAATATAAGTTTTTCGTACCTCAAAGTATTCATTCGTGCCAGGTTGTCAAGGTGTCAGTATGACAAATGTTCAAGACGCCAGGCTGGCCTAATTATTATTTTTTATAAATACGAGCTGGAAATCCTTAAACAGCTCACATTTCATGCTCGCCCTTGTTATATTTATTTGCATACGTTCCCTTCGAAATTCTCCCTTTAACACCTTCGCGATATTTTTCGCTTTCGCACCCCTGTTAATTAGTAAAATTATCATTCTCGTATATAAATTAACAATATTTAAATTTTTTTTCTTTAAAAGTTTGAAATTTAATCTATATAATTTAATAGAAATTACATTTATTTATTTTAATTAGTTAAAGTCCGTGACAATGCTGTGCCAATAATTGAATTATTAGAATACTCAAAGATGAAATAATTTCACATAGTTACATTCCAAAGGAAAACAATTCAAGCAATGTACCTTTTTTTATTTAATTAAAATGCTGTTTAATTGTTAGATCATGATTTTAAAAAAAGAGGCTTCACGTGACCAATATGACGAATAGATTTAATATTTATATTATTAATTAAATTAATTATTTTGTTATAATGATTAGTTAGGATTTATTAAAATAGATTATATTATTTCATTTATAAGTCCGGAGATTACGACGTAGTTATATATATTATGAGTAAATTGATTTGTATAAAATATCATTATATTCTTTTAAGTTAAAATTACTCGTTCAATAGATTAAATTCATTTACTATTTTTGTTCACAATAATTTTCGGAAATACTGTAGGAAACCGGAAATTTACTGTTTCTGCCTTCGATTTTAACTTTGGGGGTGGGGACTGGTAACCCTGGAATCAAAAACAAGCTCATGATTACCATATATGGCGAAATAATTATTCTGCATCGGTGCAGGTGCATGATTGTGAAAAAATTTTCTGTTGTTAAATGAATTTAACAATGTTGCTTCATCTTTTTTTTTGTTATCAATTTTGAGATTTTATTGTAATTTAGGTTTTTTTTGATATTGTTAGATTTGGGATTCAATAAGTTTGAATTTTCGGAATACGATTCTCCTGACAATTTTCCCAATTGCTTTTTCAAAATTCAAGATACATAGAAATTAAAAATATCTGATAATATGAACAAGATATTGGTGAAACGTGTTTGGATATCAAGCTATACAAATTTAAACTACTATTAATCATAAGGTTGGAAAAATTTGATAAATCCGCGAAATACTTTAAATAAAATTAATAATCACCGAATTTTGTTAAAATTCGGTTTTCGGCGGTAAAATTGGATCCGTGATTTGAAAAAAAAATTCATTATTTTGTCGTTATATCAAACTAAACCACCATTGTTGATTTAATATTTACGACTATTTAAACCTACTAAATCATGTTTTCTTCTTGCAAACTTAAATTTATTTCATCGTTATTACGAAAAAAAATCACGGAAAAGTGAAACCCAAAGCAAATTATTAATACTTTTAAAAGAACCAAAGAGGGAAATCTGATGAGTAAATATTTGACAAAGGAACAACTGATATCTCCGTAAATGTAACGGAACGAACTAAATGACTTCGAATTTAGCACCTTTGGCTTTCCCCAAACGAAGATACCGCCGCTTTGATTCTTAAAACGACAAAACGGATGAATGTTGATGACTCTGCCATCTTTATTTAATGGAATAATAACGGATTTAATG